TTTATGATGCTTATGTATTGACACTTTGAGCTCAATTATGTATTGTTTTTGACAAATATTGTTCTTGTCATAATCGTTGGTACATGTACATAAATGAATTATGTGAATGCTGATAGGGATAGCCTTTTAAAGATATTATTGGAAACTTCTCATCACGTATCATGTTAAGTGAGGACTAATATTGTAGTACATAGAAGGAATTATGTTGAAATAATGGTGTAAAATCGCCACAACTCTTATTCGTCATTACTTAACGATGATATATTAAGTGACCAATGTATGAACGATTTTAGTTTTTCATATGCGAATTATATTATAGACCACATAACGATGTAATATTACTCTGGCCAAGTGGGAGAATGTTAGACCAATTAATGTGGCCCTACGTAATATTATTAATTATTTAATTAATTTGGTCTATATGCTAAAATCTGATTGGCCCATTGAGAAGTGACAGTTTTATAACTGTCCACTTTGATGAAAAGTGGGTAATTTTTGACGTAAAAAAAGAAATTGCCTCTCTCTGTCTTTTAACGTGAATGAAAAGCCATCAATTAATTCAATTCAATAACAGTAAGGAAAAGAGAAAGAACGATTTTTTTAATCTCACTAGTTTCTCTTTGGCAGATTTAAAACATTTCAATTATTTTCATGGATCAAGGTATGTTACTCGATCAAATTACTCATATGTGAAAATCATGGAATTCTAAGATCTTGGCATTAGGGTGTAATTGCTTATTCCCCTTGCTTCAATGCAATCCCATAAACTAGCCATTAATCAATGCAAAGGGAGAGAGCCCTATCTTCGTAATCGTAATAAAAAAATAGTCATGCCCACTTAAAAAAAAATATATGATACAACGTATCAAATATGCATATATTTTGGGCCCTTTCGTAAAAAAGTGTATTATGGAATAGTGATTGATTGTGAAATGTGTAGTTAAAAAAACGAAAAGTTTTTTATTCATGTGTAATATTATTTTAATGAAAAATGTGTAATTGAAAATGAATACTAATGTGATAAAATAATTGACAAACAAAGGTTTTATTGGATTATGTACTAATGGGACTCTTCATTGACAAGGGAAAGCATATATCGTGTACGTAGAGCGAGCTATGGATTAATAAATATCTTTCGCGACCCTGAGAGGTAGGCCCACTTTCAGCGAAAAATAAGAGAAGAGAATGTTTTTATAAGAAAAATAATACTTTGTAGCTATGGAAAAATAAAGAAAAGGAAAATTAAGATGACGGCTTATTGTTAGTTTATAATTGATCTCTTGCCTAATTGTTAGTATGAAGTAAATACTAATTTCAAAATTATTAAGGAGGTGTTTGATATCCATTTTCTTATAAAAATGCATTTTAAAATAATAAATTGATAGGAAATGTGTGGTTGAAAAATAAGGAAAAGTTTTGATTTACATGTAATATTATTTTAATAAAAAATGTGTGGTTAAAAATAAGAGAGAGAAAAATGTATTTTGAAAAAAATGGGTACCAAACGGGCCTAAATATTAATAGTTTAAGCAGCAATTGCAATAAAGTTAAAATAATGTGGTGCTTTATTATATGCAATATTCAGGGGTAGACATAAACATTTTATATTAGGGGGTCACCATTAAATTTTTAAAAAACGCGATAAATTTTTTTTATTACTTTATTTGAGTTATAAACTGTTATATTATTTTTTTATCTTGATTATTTTTACATCTAAATTTATATATATATATAATTCGATCATTTTTAGGATTTTTTTTTATTATTGTTACTTTTTCCTCTTAATCAATTAATTTTTTCAAAAAAATAATCTAATAAATTTCCTAATAAAATCTTTGACGTCATTTGAAAAAAAATTAATCGATCGAGAAGAAAATGTAACAACAATAATAAAAAAATCCTAAAAAGGATTGAATTTTTTTATATATAAAAATAATCAAGATGAAGAAGTAGTATAACAATTTATAACCCCTGTGAAGTAATAAAAATTTTATTAAGAATTTTGATGTTCAAAAAAATAAAATTTGACGTCATACCACATATAAAATTTCCTAATAAAATGATGTAAATTATATTGAAAAATTTTTCGCGGAAAAATAATAGACATTAATAAAATAATTGATTTTTTTTTTCAAAAAAGACTAGTTATAAGTCTTTTTAGCATACACATTTGACATACGTTTAACTATTTTCGATATTCATTTAGATCATTCGATATATTTATGATATAGTTCTCGAAATGAGTTTCGAGAAGATATAGAAGATTTATAGATATGGCTAGTGTATAACTGTCGAAAAAATTTTAAAGTTAGCTTGTTATCGTATTTCTCAAAATATTTGTTTGGAACTGCCTATTTTAACGCTTCATAACATTGCTATAATTGACCATTTCGCACAACATTAACGATGTGAAAATACTAGGCTGTAAGTACTTTAAAATGATATTAAAAATGTAATATTTCAATTTCATTTGATATGAAAAAAAAAAAAAAAAAAAAAAAAAACTGGAGGGTCAAGTGACCCTAGGGTCCGCCCTTGGGTCCGCCCTTGGCAATATTGTATTGGTCGATGTTACAATGTTGATATTAATATTTTATTTAGAAATAGTGGAAGTTAACTATGTTCATTTTGTTAATTTGAACAACATCCACTATTACAGATTTTTTAAAATTATTATGGGAATATTAATTGTAACTTAAACACCGTGAATGCCATTTGAAGATTGACGAACCCTTTATGTCAATTTGAATGTTACTGGTAATGTGCTGGTTGAGATCTCCAAAGCAGCATTTTAACAAAGAATAAAATTAATCCATATTAAATCAAATAGAGCTTTTTTATTATCCATACCTAACCATTCATAATAGGAAATTTGCACTTCTCGTTCTTTACGTTTGTGAAATAACAATTTACAATCAGTTTTTCTTAAACATAATACCTTTCAATTATGTCACAGAATTCATAATTTCCTTCATTTTGATCATTAAATAAATAAAAAAAATGGAAAAATGTAAAAGGAGTTTCATGACTTTTCAAAAGTTCAAATAAAATCCACTCGAAACAATTAAATGCATATCAAACACTACCTTCAGGCTAGTGATTCTTATTAATAAAATTTTTCGATCCTTAATATAAATATAAAAATGAAATTTAGAATCATAAATCTTTTCCAAACGATAATACTTCTGTCTTAGATTCATTATTACATTTTGAAATTTTGTTAGTGCACTTCAGCTCTTCCGTATGGCTTGACGAGTTGTAATGTTGTCCACAATTTCAAATGATATAAAAGATCTATATGATCATGTTACAAAAAAACATAATGGAAAATAAAAATGCATGAGTAAAATAATATCGACAGATGTATAAACAAGATATTTGCCTCTCTTTGATAATCACAATTTGGCAAAAAACAAAATTTTGAATAGTGATTTTTTTATTTTTTATTTTAGAATATGTCATTAAAAGGTAGGAAAAATTTTGAATTTACGTGCAGAATATGGCAATAGATGCCTCAAATCAAAATCTATCTTCCTTATCTATGAGCAATTCTGCCATTGATAGTGGATCAACTCCTTATTTCATTCATCACTTGTATAATCCAAGACTTGTCCTTGTTGCATAGTTACTGACTGGGGACAATCATGCATCATAGAGTCAAGCTATAATGACCGCATTATCAGTAAAGAGCAAGCTAGGATTCAAGGATGGATCTATATCTAAACCTGATAATAATGACGATTTGATCAATCATTGGATCCTCAACAACAACATGGTGATCTCGTGGATCCTTAATTCAGTTTCCAAAGAATTTTTTGCCGGTGTTATTTACTCTGAGTTTGCACATGATATATGGATCGACCTTAAGGAAAGATATCAACAGAGGAATGGTCATAGCATATTCCAGCTAAGACGTGAATTGATGAATCTCACACAAGGACAATCATCTGTTAGTATATACTTTACCAAGTTAAAAACCATCTGGAAAAAACTCAATAACTACAAGCCCGTGTGCTCTTTTGCAAAATGCAACTGTGGAGGTAATAAGAAACTAGCTGAACACTATCACATGAAGTTCACAAGTTAAGTCAATTTGTTTCTTAACCCAAGCAGCCTCATCTGAAGGCAGTTCATCACTTGTTACATTATATTAAATCTACTCTGAGTCAAGGTCTCCTATTTTCAGCAGATTCTTCTTTCCAGCTTTGAGCCTTTGCTGATGCAGATTGGGGATCATGCCTTACCTCAAGAAAATCAGTCACAGATTTTTGTGTCTTCCTTGAAGATCATCAGTTGAAGCAGAATACCGTGCATTAGCCTCCATAGCCAGTGAGATTGTTTGGTTTAATCAGTTACTTCAAGATTTTCAGATTTCTAGAAATGATCCTACTTTGATCTTTTGTGGCAATCAAGTGGCAATCCACATTGCCTCCAATCCCCTTCTTCCATGAACGTCCTAAACGCATTGAGATAGATTGCCATTTTGTTCGAGATAAAGATCAATGACGATTCCATTAAGCTGATGCCAATTCACACTCATCATTAGTTGGCACACATTTTTACCAAGGCTTTACCTACATCATTATTGTTTCCATTAACGTCCAAGATGGCTGTCATTAACCTACATAGTCCATCTTGAGGGGGAGTAACAGAATTAACAAAAATTCATCACAATTGCTGAGCTGCAGATTGACATAGCTGGAGTTAGCTTGCAGTTATGTTAGTTAATTCCACGCGTCACTCTTGGAAGGCTTTGTATAGTTTGTACAGCTAAGACTTAAGTCAGGTTTCATTCTTCTCTGTATTTATAACACAATTGCAGTGTAAACGATCTACATTCTGATTGAATGCAATTTCAATTTGATTCTTCACTTCATTCAGTAGTGCGATTGAAAATTGAAAAAAAGTATATATAATAAAGAGTTTTGAAATAATAGTTGACAAACGGGGGCGTACAAATGCCATGTGTTTATCATATATCGTCACTCTAAAAACAAAAAATTAAGGTTAAAGGTAATATATGCATAGAAAAACTTATCGTGTCATCAAATCCATAATATTGTTACTAAATATTAGATCAATCAAGATATAAAAATTGTTGGAAAAAATGGTTAATGGGTCAACTTTGAGCCCAAATTTCAGTGGGACCCACCTTTTAATTAATATGGGATCTAGCATATTCACGTTCTACTCCGCGAGATGATTAACGTGATTTATTTATTTCTCGAAAACCATTTAAAATTGAATGAAATATTAAGTGTTAAAGTAACCCACATAAACTAAAGATTATGGAAGAATTTGATTTTCCAAACACTTATCCCACATAGGAAAGTTAGGAAACTTTGGTGTGGTTTATAAGGTGGAAGT